AAAGATGATGCAAAGCAGTTTTGAACTAAAGCTTTAGTTCAGCTTGTCAAAACCTCCTTTGTGACTGTGAAGTAGTTAATATTGGTTTCTTATTGGGAAGGGGGGGGGGTAATTGTTTTTAGCATAGAGCATTTAGTTTTGATCTTCAGGCTGTACCAAGCACATCTGCTTAAGTCCTTGATCATTTTTTTTTTTGTTTGTTTGTGGGGACACATTTAAGAAAACTTAGGTGTATGAGTCTTCTGCTTGCAAATAAAGGAGGTTGTAAATATTTTCTGCAAAACACTTGTTTTCTATGTAAATGTTCAGTTACTTTATTCTGGAAGAAAAGAATCAGCCTAAGAGTTGGTTTCATATGAAGATACAGTGGGAAATGGTGTAATACCTAAACTGTGTTAACAATGATTGTATTTTTCTGTACAGTATATGTAAACAAGATTGTCTGTCTTCACAGGTGGAAACATTTTCTGGTGTCTACAAGAAGCTCACAGGCAAAGATGTGGTGTTTGAGTTTCCAGAATTCCAGCTGTAAAGCGCAAAAGATGGCTGAATAAAACAATTGTTCATATAACAGAGTAATTTCATTTAAATTTCCAATTCTGTAAAGCTAGGTGGGAATTAACCAGTTCATGAGACTGCTCTGCTTTCTGGATGAGTGGCATTTGTGTATCAAAGTACTAACCCACCAACATTTTCTGGTCAAAACGTGACTCTGGACAGAAGAGTCTGCAAAAAGAATCGGCCTAGAAAAATAAAATGAAACATGTTAAGACTCCTTGTACAGAGGAAGTGGGGAATTACCATAGAGCAGAGGGACTCCTGAGATTTTTGTGCTAAGACTGTCAGTTGGAGAACAACACCTTCCTGACACTAGAAGAATTCTACATAGCAGATGTTGTGACCTCTGAAACATGGAGCAATGACATATCCGAAGAAGGGTTTTAATTCTGTGGGAAGTAGGTTTGGTGAACGCATAGGTTGAATTAGAGGCAACTGTCCTTGCTGGTTGAGTGGTAGAACGTTACTGGCTCTTACCTAAAAGCAGGTATTGCAGCTTCCCACCTTCAATAGAGTGAAATTGGAAGACATTTTAATTTCTGCAAGATTAATTATCTTGTACACAAACTACAGTTTCAGTCATTTGTTTTTGCTTTTGGAAGTCATGGATTTTGTTTCCACCTATTAGCGGTTTATATATGTAAATAAATATTGGGGTAATCTGGGGTAGCCAGGACATGACTAATAACCAACAGCAGGGATAGATATGCAAGGGTGAAAGGAGGACTGCTATCTAGACGGTATCTATGATCTATAGATGGTGTTTTATCATAGTTCCCATACATCCTTGGCCATATGTATCATAGCAGCCAAAGGCTTTGAAAGCCCTACACTTCGAAAATCTGTATGTATATCTAGAAACATTTCCAGCAAGTTTTAACTTTTTACTGGCTCAGGGGGGAGTTTGACTCTTTGGACTTAGCAATTTATAATGTTCTGAGCAATTTATATGAATTTAGTACTTAACCTTGCTGAACAGACTATTCTATTACTTAGGAGGAAGTGGTTAATGCAATAAAAGGTACCTAATTATGGAGACAGCCTAATAGATGGAAAGCTAAGTAGGTAACAACCTATACACCAGGAGCTCTTAATAGCTTGTGTCTTTTTACCTAGGAGTAAATGGAAGACAAGTGCACTTATTGAGGGTCTTTGTACCTTTGCTTCCTTTTTCTCATTTTCTGCGGGTTTGCTTGCTTCCCACTTGATGCATCTCTTGAACTGTGGAAAAACTAAAAGGTTAAAACAAGTTCTACGTTGCTTTTGCATTGGAACAGGGGAGCTTTTTAAGTTGTACCATAGCTTCTGTTTAGTAGCAAAGGGCAGGTAGTAGTGGGCTGTTACTTCTGGTGCAGACAATGCAAAGAGAACAAAGAAAATATATATACCCTGTTGTAATTAATAGTTAATTTCCTGCTACTTACTGACAAGGCTTGACTTCACACAGAAAAGAACAGGCTGTGTCTTTGGAGAAATTTGCCTAAGACCTTTTCCTCTCGCATTTTCAAACTTCTGTCTCTGGCGTATAGCCCTGAATCCTGGCTGTGTGTGGGCAGAGTAATTCCAGGAGATCCTACAACAGAAGGAGTGATAGAACTTGAGAATTCAAGTCTCTCACTGCTATAATGGGCATTACGCAGGTTGAAGATGGCGGGGGTAAAAAAATCTAGTCTCAAGTCAGACATGTTACTAATCTTTCTGCTATAACAGTCACAGATGGTAGCCTGTGCAAATAGATATTTGCTGTTGTGGGTTGGAAGAAGCAGTTAGGGGACTGTTTGGAGACTTACCAGATGTTAACTACATTTAATTAGAGGTTGGTGAGTCTACTGGGGCCAAGTAACATCTGCAAGTAGAGGTGATGCTCAGACAGCAGGCTACAGTAGACAGTATTTCTTCTTTCATGGTGAAATATAACTCAGGTTTGATCTCTTAGTAACAAAAATGTCAGTAGCAGTTCCAGTTTTGACGCACTGGGGATTTGAAGGGAATCAAGTAAACTGAATATGAAAATGGCAAATGTTGCCAGGCATTGCCAGCTGGCTATACAATTTTTCTCTTGGCTCTTGTTGTAAGCCCTTTGAACTAAATGAAATGCAAAGGCCCATGATGGCTCTATAAGCAAATTCTATGAAAGTGCAACACTTAAAACTACTTATGGTTCTTAAATAAATGAAGCTGCAAGCAGAGGTGAATTTTTGTAGCATAAAAATACCAGGCTGTGTGCTCTGCAAAAGACTTTTGTCATAGTTTACCTTTATGCACGGGCTCCCGTGTGTTTTAGTGTCAGTGATACAATCAGACAACTCCCGCTCTCCCTTGACAAGCATATCAAATGAACGCCTGCAATCTGGAAAGTCACTTGATGCCATCTGGTCAAGTACTAATGAGGCAGCTGGAATACTGGTGTCAGATGTTACCTTAACCTAAAGGAGTGCCCATAAGAGATGATGCTAGACTTTGCCTGTACCTTTTGTGTGCTGTCACAGAGGAGCTCTGAAAGCGTGATTCCTCAGGAGCTTGTCTGGTTTTTGTGAAAAAGTGATGAGGCATCATACTGTAGCAAGACCTGTAGTGTTATGTGGAGAGACAGATCACATCCTGAAGAGTGTAGAAAAATGGATTCTTGCCTGTTGTAGCCCAGTCAAACAAAGCGAGGAGCAAGGGCCTTATGCTGTTAGGTGCTCTTAAGGCTTGCACCTGATAGGAGAGCTTGCCATATGGCTTCCATGTAAGTCCTCACAAATGTCTTCAAATATTTTTGTCTGTGAGGAAAGCTGCTCCCTGTTGATTTCCACTAGGACTGGTTCATGGATGTGTCACAGGTCTGGTGTGACAGAATTTGCTTGAAGTGCTTGATCTGCCTTGGATTAATGTGATTAATTGGAGGCATGATTAGATAATGTCCGATAAGTTCCCCTTGAATATAAGTAGAAGCATGTGGCAAGCCTTAATAGAGTGATCCTTGCATCAAGCAGTGTTAAAGGACACGTTATGGCTCCTGTGCTATGGACTGAAATAATCTATTTCCTGTGCCTTCACTTTTCCTAAGTTTTCTAAATGGGAGGCCTGAGTTTGATTCTTAGTTGAGTCTAAAAGCCAGGGTGATGCCAAGAAAAGAATAAAAAATAAAAAATAAAAAAAAAATAAACACCTTTAAAGCTTAGACTGTTTTCATCTTCTGCGGTATGGGCTTTGTAGGTCTCTACAGCTGTATCAGAATGGCAGACAAAATATCGATTATGGGGTCATGTGGTCCCAGAAAAAGAAGCCTTAAGGCTAGGCTAGGGGAGCGTGAGTCCCTTTCCTCCATACAGGCTTGACTGCAGCATTGATCAGTGCAAATGGCTGACCCCTTTGTAAGCAGGTGGCTTTGGTGTGCTTTTTGCCTGCCTTAAGAGCACACGTGTGAAAAACCTACATTCACTGAGAGCAAGAGAAAGAGGCGACACTGCAGCATCTCTTTGTACTAGTGCTCTGTTCCCTGCAGGAATTACGTGTATTTGATCTTATTGTGATCAAGAGGAGAAAGTTTTTGTTGGATTTGTTACAGCTTGCAAGTTTAGGTATCTCCTCCTCTACCCACAGGTTTACTGCTATTCCTTCTTGCCATTTCTCAGGAAAATAATTCTTAACCTTGTCAATTAGTTTCTGCTGTTAAATGTTGCTAAATGGTTAATAGCTAATGGGCAGCACCATGGTTTTCATGATTTTGTGCTGATGAGTCTGATTCAGTTTTGATTTGCCCCTGGAACAGCAAAGATAGAAGCGGAGCCAGGCATTTAAGAGATTTTACCAAATTTAGAGATGAGAAATAACAGAAAACACAGTTCGCATTTCTTATTACTGCTGCAGCGAATGCTGCTCAGAAACTTTATGCAAAAAAATGTTGGTGCAGCAACACTAAAGAAGTTGAAGGCTAGTTTTTACACTGCAGTAAAAGAACTTAAAACTTGCATTGCTGTTTCCATGCTGAACTTTACCACTACACATCTAGCGCGTTGTACAGAAAAGGTGGTAAGGAGAGTTTCTTCTGTTGCCTTGTCCATCAAACTGAAGTGGTGATGTCCACCCTCTGGGGCTGCGTTAATGGGATGAGGTATGTATGGGGATCTTCACAGGGGCAGGCAGCACTACACATTCCTTTTTCCCTCAGATGTATTTTGATACTTAATAAAACAGTTTCCTATTTTTTTTTTGCCTAAACAGTTTATTGTTAGGCGAAGCCAGAGGAAAGGGGCTATGTTTTTTGATTGTCACAGGAGCAAAGGAGGGAATGCACTCAGCTTGCCATCAGGAAGTCATAGATCTGCTGCATCTCCCTGCCTTTTTCAGGAGTTTGGCCTGGGATGCTTACCAAGGGCTGGTTAGCAAGGCAGCCCTGGCTTTGAAGAAGTGGAGCAGTATTTGTGATGCAACCTGTAGTAAGCTGAGCTCCAGCAATTGAGTTCACGTTATGACTTATGAAAGAGTTTGGGTATTGGCAGTTTTCATACCTTAAGAAAACCTGGTCCAGATTGTTGTTTGCCCTGCTTGAGAAGGGGTTGGACCGGATGATTTCCAGAGGACCCTTCCAACAGTTCCGTGATCCTTTGATGCCATTGGGTGACTTGTCAAACTGAGGGGAGAATTTTAGGGCTCTGTCATCTTTTCAAAACAGTATCTTTAGATAGTATTTTAAACAGTATTTTAAAATGAGCATTGCATTTAATCCTCTTACAGACTGAATGCCAGTTGACTCTGGAAAGAGTAAAAGAATTTGCCTGAAGGCTCTGAAAATGTTTCCCTTTAAAAAAAAAAAAATCACCTTTCAATAATCAATTTGATTTTGATTTGTGCTTTTTTTTTTTTTTTTTAACTATTTCAATCCAACTCTTCTGCATAGTTGGTATTTACCCTGAGCTTAAAGGCTGGGTGGATGTCTGGTTGTGGATCAATCATGATAGCCAACTTAGATCTGTCTTGTTGTATACCCTAGCCTCTGAAAGTTGTCCTGCTGCATTAGCAAGGGTGGCTGAAAGACTTAAGAACCATTTCTTGAACTGCTACAGCTTTCAGACTGGCATATTAACATCAGGAAAAGCGTTAGCTGAATAGCCAACACCGACTGTGACCTGATGGGGTTGAACAGCTGCCCTACAGTAACTCGGTTGTCTCAGCTATGGATGGGGATAGGGCTAGGTGGTGAAGCTGGGGAGGTGAATTTTTGACCTGCTCCAGTGTAGTCTGTCTTAGTGCCCTGGGTTGCCTGTAGTCTGGTTCCAACAATGTGCTAGCATGGCTGTACAGCCTCGGGTCTGCTGTCTGAGTGGGTGAAGGAAGGATGCTCATGTCCAGCTGTAAGAGGAGTATGCCCTTTTCTTTTTCAGAGGTGAAACAAAGCCATAGACTTATTTTCTCCTTATCCAGGGAAAACAGTTCTATCATATCTGTTGTGTTTGGCCTTCCCTTTTGAACTCTGGAAACTTGGATTTATTTTTCTTCACTTCTGTTTGCCTGGTGTTTAACACTACCTTTTCTACTTTCCGTGAAATGGCTCTTTCTCCCTGAATTCCAGCTCTGGCCTCAGTTATTTGCCTGTTTATATAGGGAGAGCAGATATGTATGTAAATGGACGTTGCCTTTGCCATCGTAATATGATCTTCAAAGGCTTGGACTGCAGTCACTTGGCTGCATTCTTTACATCAAACGTTTCTTGTAGCAAGTTGCTGCCAACAGAGTGCTGTGAGGGCCCGATCCTGCTAATTGCCTTCTGCTCCCTCTGAACTAATGCAGCTTGTATGCAGAAAACAGCTTTCAAGTTAGAGTTGTGGGGTGCTTACCCTGTTACGTTTTACATTTTTGTCCTTACTGATGTAATCTGAAAGTGAGCATCAGTTCTGAACTTCTTGTGACCATCTGGTGGGCGTTGAAACACAGAAGCTGATGGAGGAGAGACAGCCAGGATCCAGCCCAGCTTGAAAAGAGGGTGGTGTAGGAGAGGTTCAGCCCTTGTAAAAGTGGTTTCTGAATGCGAGGCACTGCTGTGGTATCTGTGGTACCGTGTTTTTGTCTTTTTTTTCCCCCTTACTGCCTGTTTTGTCGCAGCCTCCTCAGAGGTGGGGATGTGTTGGCTGAACAAATTCCCTCCTCCAGAAGAGGGGGATAGCTCTGCCAACAGCACCCATCCCTTGCATGGAAAACTGCTCAGGTGTGGGGTGGTGAAGCCTCAAGTGGGGGCTGTGGTGTGTGGAAGGAAGTTACATGCCCCAGGGCCAGGAGAGGAGTGCATGGAGAGGGGACGCTGCCAGACATGAGCAGAGGGGGAAAAGTCTATCAAAGGACATTGCAACCCCCACCACAGCATGAAATCCTTGATGGAGAGGACATACACCTCTACAAGAGCAAATCAGAAGGTCAGTGAAGCGAGCACGTGCTCCTATCACAGCTTTCTCTTGTCCCACAGTCTAAAAGCTTTTTGGTGATTCTTTTCACATTTTAGGAGGGTGAAAAGATACTGAAAGATTTATCTTTTTTTCTTTCTCGCTGACATGGTGATGTCAAAGGTGTATTAAAAAAATAAATCTTTAAGCCTGTCAAGTGGATAACAGCATTGTTGTGGAGAATTGAGACTCAGCTCTGAAATACTTGCATGTTTCCACTCAGTAAGTCAAGAATGTTACAGCTAACAGCAGGAGTGGGGTGAGTTTCACTAGGGAAAGCGTGTTAATTATTCACATAACTCGGTCATATTCACTGCTGCACTCCCTGTGTTGTCACATCAGTTGTTAGAAATGAAGTAAAGCAAGGGAAGTGCTGTCCTAGGGCAGTTGCATGCATAACTTAGAGCTGAATAGATCTAAATGGTTAAAAAGGGGTTCTCTGCTAGAGAGGAGGAGGGGAGAGTAAGAGTGCATTCCCAAAAAAGTACATTCCCAAAATAAAAAGCTTACATCATGGACCTCTTCAGCTTTCCCACACTTCTTTCCTAATTATTGTCCTACAGGACAGCTGATCTATTTCAAACAGGAAGCTGTTTACAGATAACACTTGCAACTGTGTTGTCTGATTTGTTGAACTGTCGAAAAGCAAAAGACAACCTCTTTTCAAATTAAAAACTGTCAGACTTCTGTAAACAGCAGCAATGAGGTTCATCTGTGCAGTGTCCCTGCAGGCACAGAGTGTTCTGCAGTTCCCATTTTCTCAGCAACCGTAAGGTAAGAGGCTTTTGTGCTTTTGCTCTCTAGAAATACAGAGGAAAAAAGCTTGGATGTTTGTTAGGGGGGTGTCTTGTAAGCAGCAAAATATGATTGGCAATGGCTGCATAGCAGGGGAAGGTAAGGGGAGTAACAGCTTGCTCTGTTCTAGCAGATAAAGTGGGACCTTTCTGTCTGAGGCACCCATGTGGGTTAGATCGCAGAATTCCTGGTCAGTGTGAGATTTGTGTATGAAACATTCAAATGCCATTGAAGGAGCTCATTCCTTTCTTTGAGCAACAAAGGATGAAGTGGTATTTTAATTTCTCATGCAATGGAAAGTTAATGCAGTTTATTAAGGGGTTCTGATTCCTGGTAATACATGACAGACATCTCAGTTTAATTTTGGAAGTGCTCAGTACTTTTCTCCATCCTTCTACTTTTATTTCTAAGTGGCTGGCTATTTTCTACTTTACAAAGTGAGCTTTTAATACGTCTGGAAGACAGAGAATAAAGACTGACATTGCAGAAGTGAAGCAGATGACAGTGGATCCAGTAAAGGATAGAATTACACCAGTGGGTAATTAAGAGTAAACTCAGTTAAAACCAAATCAAGTTGGTAGCAGTAGTATACAGGACAGTCTAATGAAAATTAAGGATGTGTAAAGATAGAATGTAAAGATGATCTAAATGAGCTGGATGATGAGAGTAAGCCATAGTTCAGTAACCAGAAGGCCATATGCCTGCTTTTCAGTCATGGGATATGAAAAATTAGTATTCATAAAAGGAATTAAGAGTTTCCATTCTGACCTCTGTACATACATACGTGTGCTCAAATAGAGGAATTCAGGACAGGGATTCTTTTCTGACAAAATCAAGTGACTTTGGAAAACTGAAATGTACAGCTTCACTTGCCATACAGTGAAATAGAGACTCTTGGCTGGAAATACTACAGCTTTTATGTTTGGGTAGTGAAAGATTTTAGAGATGCATTAGGAAACTCTTGTCCTATGTTTCTGTTTTTGAAAATGAGATCTCACACTTTTGGACATTTCATATTTATATGATCATTTAAGGCAGGATCATGACATTTTAAGGCATTATAGAGACTGAAAAATATGAAACAAGCACTGCTTTAAAGTTTTCACTCATGAGAATGATGTTAGGATGTCTTTGTCTGTGACAACTTGTTAGACATACCCTTAATGCTTTTTACTGTTTCTACTGATTGTTGCAACATAAATAAGGTATGTAGATATTGTATATAAGGAACATTTCCAAGCTGACTGTTCTTCTTAAGATTGTTAGGACTCTTTCACAAAATTATTGAAAGCATTTGTTAAAATGAACTTAATACGGGACAGACAAATTCATTGTCAAAATGGCACTTTAAACATGGTGTATTCTTACAATCAGTGGAGAATTGCACAGTAACTTATAAAGTGTGCATCACAATGATGAGTGCTGTTTCTCTGATTACTTTTGAATGATTTTACTCTATTTCAAAAGCTCCCTTTAGTCAGCTTCAGGGCTGCCCAAAAAATCTTGATTGAGAATAATTTTGAAGTAGAAAGGCTCTTGACAAAGCAGCTTTTTTTAGGAGAAGTGTCAGCTTTCCAGGGTAGTTTAGTTCTTTTGTCAAAGTATTTTGGCTGAAAACCAGAAGGGTTTAGCCAAAAATATACTCACAGTGTCTCCTGGGAACTGTAGTTTGTGCTTTGCACTGCATTTCACTACTGGCTGGACTTCCCGGCTGAACCATGCTTCCCGTAAGGCCTGTGCCCAGGGACTCTGCTGCGATTTCCCTTGATGCAAGCAGCACTGTGCTGTATTTTGGGAAGTACGCTCCAGTGAAAGAGGCCAGTAAGGAATAAGATGTAGGAAAAACCTCTCTGATTGCTAGTAGATAATTGACAGCTAGTTTAAAGCTTGAATACTTTGCTCTAGTTTGCATGTGAGTCCCATACCACACAGTTTGCTGTAGGACTTGAAAGTGTGACATGTCAGGAGGGTTAGGTGTGTCAGCAGGAGGCTCAAAACCATTCTGTTGCTTCCTTCCACACAAGGGAGAAAACATTTAAAAATGCTTCTCCGCCCATACAAGGGAGAAAACATTTAAAAATGCTTCTGAGACTTTGTTGGTGTTTCTGCCAACTTTTGTGCCAGAAGTGTTCCATTTTATGTACTTGGAACTGCAAGCTGCAAGTACACAGTATGATGGGATTTTGGGAGCGAGGTAAACTGTGAAGGAGTCGAGAGGAAAACAACCTCCTAGGAGCCCAAGGCTTTTGGAAGTGATGGTTCTTAAAATCCAACAAGGTGTTGTCTCAACCGTCGAAATGCCTGTTCAAACAAATCTCGGCCTGGACGATATGCCCTTAGGTGCTTAAGATGTCTGTAGGCAAGAAGAGAACTGAAGCTGCTTGAGTTCTTCATTGCTGGGCCAGTCTCTTACTTGTTTATTAGGATCTAAAGATCCTTATCTGTTGTGACTGTTTGGATGATGCTTCCTCCAAACTGCATCAGGAAAACCAGTTAGGATGTCTGTAAGGCATCACCTTGAGGGAGGTGATTGTCCTCTGCTCTGCCCTGGTGAGGTCCCACTTGGGAGCGCTGCATCCAGTTCTGGAGTCCCTAGCACAAGAATGATGTGGAGCTGTTAGAGTGGGTCCAGAGGAAGGCCACAAAGATGATCAAGGGGCTGGAGCATCTCTTCTACAAAGATAGGCTAAAAGAGCTGGGGCTGTTTAGCCTAAAGAATAGAAGGCTCCGGGGTGACCTCATTGCAGCCTTTCAATACTTCAAGGTGTCTTATAAAAAAAAAAAAAAAAAAAAGATTAAGAAAGACTCTTTACTTGGCTAGATAATGATAGGACAAGAGTGAATGGTCTTAAAATTAGAGATTAGAAGGAACTTTTTCCACTCAGGATAATGAGGCACTGGAACAGGCTGCCCAGAGAAGCTGTGGATGTCCCATCTCTGGAGGTGTTCAAGGCCAGGTTGGATGAGGCCCTGAGCAACCTGATCTAGTGGGTGGCGTCCCTGCCCATGGCAGGGGGGTTGGAACTAGATGATCCCTGAGGTCCCTTCCAACCCAGGCCATTTTATGACGACATTCTAGAGGCCAGAACAGAGTAGAAAGGCAGATGGTGAGAAGTTTGAGGTATTATTACATTGGTTTCTTCCTACACTGAATAAAGCACCTGAGTGAAATGTGGGCATGGACAATCTATTTCCAAAGCTACAAGTGAGGCACCTGGCTGCAGCCCAAGAACCCAAAGTGTTTATGTGCTGAAGTGCTCTACAGCTGAAACCTTTTGAAAGTGTGTGGCCTGTTGTCCTTTTGGCACAGAGACTTCAGAAACTGAAAATAGTTCTTGAAAAGCTGAGTGCTACCACCCAGCTTCTGTGTAATCTACTGGCCAGGAGCACTTCCCTGGGGAGTGGGGAATCTGCATCCAGTTCATTCCACTGCTTCAGTGCCCATCCTGTATCTGCTAGAACAGTGCCTTTGTCACTAACCTGACAGAACCACGGGTGCATCCTCTTATGATAGAATAGTTTGGAGAATGAGGTTTGGGATGATTTGGTTGAACTTAGGAAGAGGCCACAGATACGGATTCAGTGGTAAGTGTCACCAGTGTTGAGTTAAGTAGGTCTATTTTTTATTTTTGGCATGAAAAATGAAGGTAAAGGGTGGAGAATGGAAAGATTAACTACTTCAGTTCTTGGCTGCTCTTTGTGGAGGGGGCGTTGAAAAATTAAGATGTCCATAGTTGTGCTTAGGTTCCAGGTATACATCTTTATTTTCCTGATTTTAAGTGTGGATGCAATGAAATTATCTCTAGTTGCTCCAGAGGAGTTTTAGATTGGACATAAGGAAGAGCTTATTCATGGAGAGTGTGGTTAAGCATTGGAACGGGTTTCCCAGGGAAGTGATTGAGTCCCTATCCCTGCAGGTATTTAAGAGACATCTGAATATAGCACTAAGCGACATGGATTATTGTTAGGACTCAGTAGGTCAATACCTTCTGGCCTGTAAAATGAATCTGGTGGCACTTAATGCCAGAGTCTCTCAGGTACTTTAATGGCTCTGGTAATAACATTATAGTCTTTTAAGCAACTCTCTTTTTAAGCATGTATTTGCCCATTTAGACTGAGTTTACATGTGATTGCATTCACTTTCTTCCTTGACTTTAGGAGTAATGATGTTAAATGTCACAATTAGTGTTGTGTACATGGAGTTTATGATATGTTCAGTTGATTCCTGCATCCCTTTTTGGCAGTACTAAATAACTTTGTGGCAGGTCTCATTTTGTTGTTGTTTATCTTTCCTTTGCTTATGTCAACTGGCAGGTGCTGAGATTTCAGCCAGAACAAGGTTAATGAAGTTTTTAACACTTAACACCTCTGAAGCCTTTTCTTTAGCTGTTAGCTGCAGAATCAGAGCTGTAGCATTACTTTCTTCTCTTGTAAGTATCCTCTAAATACTAAGCATATACATGCTGAGGCATCTGAAAGTTCAAGTGATCATAGCTGATGTGCAGCTTCTTAACGTGTACAAATTGCCTCTGGTCATGTTCTGGCTGTGTGAAGATGCATCCGTGGCTGTTGTTGGAGATTTTGAATGATCTTGGAGGTCTTCCCCAATCTTAATGATTCTATAAATTTGCTGAGCACTAAAGTAGGTGGAGATGCCAGCAGTTACTTAAAGTGGCTTGTTATATTCTTCCATATATATAATATATATATATTACATATATAATTATATATATATATTACATATATATATAATTAAAATAAAGGAATTACTCAGGGCAGTTGGTTAGATTAAAGGAAATTAATGAAAAAATCCAAAAGGGATTTGTCATCCTCAGGAATCTTCTGGCAGCAGAAAAATCTTGGCATACGGATAAGGGAAGTAACACCTCCAGTTTAAGTGGCCTTGTTTGCAAATTGTTCTACAACTTGTCTATTTCTTTCTGAATTAAAATTTCTTTCTCAAAATGAGAACGGATTGT